GTTCGGTGCAGAGGGAACCGGAGACCTGCTTTGAAGGCTGCCTCGTAGCAGCCGAAATAATTGTCTGCATGGTCCCGGTTGTCGTCCCAAACAACCGTTGCGTCAGCCGGTGGCACCACCAAGTCCCAGCCGTCCCCTACCGGCTTCTTCGCCAAAAATGCTGGTAGTGTGGCGTTAAGGGTCATAATGTCCAGGGCGCTCATTGACGCCTCGGTAGGATTGTTCATGGTCGGCCATTTGTAGGCGTCCTTATCTGCCTCAGGGGCATCCGGCTCCCCGGATGTTGTGGCAGAAGAAGAGGAGACGGATCTTTGGGCAGTCTCCTCTCTGCCAGAGTCAGACCCCTCGAGAATCCTATCGCTGGGGGTACTGGGGACCCCCGGTTGGTCATATGGGACATCATCAACTGGAGGGCCGGCCGAGTCCTCGGACTGGTAGTCAGGATCAACCGCCGTCCATCGAGTACGGGCCATTCTGTCCTGCACATGAGCAGAGATGGTCGGATTTTTATCACAAGAGTGGACCAAACACTCCCAGGCGGCATCCCCAGTCCTAGACTCAGCCGTACTTGGTGACCGGTTAACATCCGTCCTAGGTTGTGCCATGTGTGTGTTGGGTGAGTCCATTTCTAACTACCTATATATTCAGCCGGAATATTGATAAAGAATTGTAAGAAGTAAAGGCGATACCTTAGTACTGAAAGCTGGAAGTTGAAGTTGATTGGTACTAGTGCAGACGGTCACAATCAAAATCTGCAAAAATAAAACAACCGGAAAATTAGAAACTTACCCAAAAACACCCCATCCGGTATTAGTCAACGTTTTTGGTCAAACTTACCCAAAAACACCCCATCCGGTATTGGTCAACGTTTTTGGTCAAACTTACCCAAAAACACCCAATCCGGTATTGGTCAACGTTTTTGGTCAAACTTACCCAAAAACACCTCATCCGGTATTAGTCAACGTTTTTTGTCAAACTTACCCAAAAACACCCCATCCGGTATTGGTCAACGTTTTTGGTCAAACTTACCCAAAAACACCCCATCCGGTATTGGTCAACGTTTTTGGTCAAACTTACCCAAAAACACCCCATCCGGTATTGGTCAACGTTTTTGGTCAAACTTACCCAAAAACACCCCATCCGGTATTGGTCAAAGCTTTTGGTCAAAGTGACTCAAAAGCACCCCAGACGGTGAATACCGGATGGGGGTCTATTGAAAGCTTTTGGGAAACAATCAAAGTTTACCCAAAAGCACCCCAGACGGTGAATACCGGATGGGGGTCTATTGAAAGCTTTTGGGAAAAAATCAAAGTTTACCCAAGAGCACCCCAGACGGTTAAGACCGGATGGGGGCTTAATGAAAGCTTTTGGGAAAGATCCTGCATCTACCCAAATGCCCCAGACGGTTAAAACCGGTTAGGGGTACATTGAAGAGCCTAGGAAAAAGTCGTTCAAAGACCCCCCAGGCGGTCATAGCCGGATGGGGGTCCCTTGAAAGCTTTGGAAAGCAATCAAAAACTACTCAACAACACCCCATGAGGTTTACACCAGATGGGGGTCTATCAAGAGCTTAGAGGAAATTTTTCAAGATTCCGGATGATCAAAAAGTATATATATCCGGCTGGTCACCCCATACGGTATTACACTGGATGGGGTGATCCAAATAAAGCTAGCTAAAATCCGTATGGGTATGCAATGAAATCAAGGAAAGGTTTCAAAATTACCTCAGCCGGGGATGAGCAGACGTCTTCAAAGTCAAGCCGGATGTGAAGAAAGAGGATGATGGTTGTGTTTAACAGCAGCCGGGGTTAGAGCTCTTCTTTCAAGTTTTGGAAGTTTGTAAATGTTGCAAATGATCAGGGGAGGTTTCTTTTATAGAAGGGGAGACGAACCGTCACCTCCCCCTGTTCAAATTCAAAAAATTGGAGTGAAGAGACGAACCGTCGCCTCCCTCTGTTAAAAAAAAAAAAAAAAAAAAAATTGGAGGGAAGGAGACCAACCGTCCCCTTCCCAGATGGTGACAACCGTCACCTAGGGTTACGTGGTATGCCATGTCACAGATGCCACGTGGCAAGCCACGTGTCATCTGTAAGGGGCAAATGATTAGGGTAAAAATTACCTATGCCACGTGGCCCAATTAAAGGCTGACACGTGTCAGCCCCAAAAAGGGCCAATGGGAGCCAATCCCAGGCTGACACGTGGCAAGCCCTTATTTGGCAGGGACACTGTTCCCCCTGCCTATAAATAGAGGAAAATACCTCATTTATGGGGCATCCAAAAAATTAAACACAAAAAGCAAACAACATTTATTCTCTCTGAATGAGAGGGAAACCATTTACATTTCCGCACTATTCACTTCGAACGCATTCTAATTAGATCGTCGGAGGCGGAACTCCACCCAACCGGAGTTCCGTTATTTCGCAGGTACAGCCGGTCACTAAGCTCAGTCTCGAAATTGTAACTCTCCCGCAGGACACAGAAAAAACCCCAAAACATTTGGCGCCGTCTGTGGGGATCGAACCCACGGCCACGTGGTATGCCAATCGTCCCCTTTCCAGATGGTGACAACCATCACCTAGGGTTACGTGGTATGCCATGTCATAGATGCCACGTGTCATCTGTGAGGGGAAAATGATTAGGGTAAAAAAATTACCTATGCCACGTGGCCCAATTAGAGGCTGACACGTGTCAGCCCCAGAAAGGGCCAATGGGAGCCAATCCCAGGCTGACACGTGGCAAGCCCTTATTTGGCAGGGACACTGTTCCCCCTGTCCTATAAATAGAGGAAAATACCTCATTTATGGGGCATCTAAAAAATTAAACACAAAAACACAAAAAGCAAACAGCATTTATTCTCTCTGAATCAGAGGGAAACCATTTACATTTCCGCACTATTCACTTCGAACGCATTCTAATTAGATCATCGGAGGCGGAACTCCACCCAACCGGAGTTCCCTTATTTTACAGGTACAACCGGTCACTAAGCTCAGTCTCGGAATTGTAACTCTCCCGCAGGACACAGAAAAAACCCCGAAACAGCATGCATACCGTTCGTGTAACACCCCAATAATTATTTGTAGAAATTAGAATCATGAAAAGATAAAATTACCCCAAATAAAACCCAAAATTAAAACTTTAAAAATTCTGAAAATTAGTTTTAATCAAATATACTTTTAACATAATATAATCATTGTATATTTAAGTAACTTGACTAGCACGTTTTTAAGCCCTAAAACCATGAAAATTAAGTTTTAAACCCTTATTTTCTTAATTAAATAAATATGAAATTTTAGTCACTAAATTAAACATAGTATAATTCATAAATTTGTAGTCTTTTACAATTCATATACATAATCAAACCATAATAATAACAATTAGAAACAAAAACTTATTAAAGATTGAAACTTGAAATAATCAAAACAAAATAAAAAAAAAAAAAGAAAGAAAGAAGAAAGGAGAGAAAAGGGGGCAAATTGGTGTGTTGTACGGTGGTGGTGTGGTCGCCAGAGGCAGCTGGGTGACGTCGATGGTGGGCTGGTGTCGGCGGCATCAAGGAAAGCAGCAATTTTTTTTTTTTTTTTAAACAAGAAGGGGGAAAGTAGTGGGAAGAGAAATAACGTGAGTGAGGAGGGGGAAATTTGAGGGTTTTTGGGGTTTTTAAATGAGCATGTGGGCTTGGTTTCCCAACTTAAGTGGGAGTAGGTTTTTATAGTTTGGGTTTGAATAGGAGTTTAAGCTTTCTTTACTTAAAATTGGGCTACTAAGATATTGACAAAGTATGTTGGTGACTTAAAAGAGAATTTTAAATTGAACAAATGCTTATTAGTTTAATAAAATTCAATTAAATTTTTACATAAAGTAAATTATACAACGGAATTGAAATAAAATATTTGTATAAATAATAAAGAAAAATATTATAATTTACTTAAAAAAAATGGGGGATTACAATCTACCCCTCTTAAAAGAAGTTTCGTCCCTGAAACTTAACCCAAAATCCACAATTCCTCAAGATTATTCAAACTTTTTGTGTTTTGTAATGCCGTAAATTATTTGTTTCTCAACATGTATACTCAACAAACAGAACTTATACTCAATAAACTTGTAATTGGCCAAAGTTCACATACTTTAATTGCATGCAAACACAATAATATTGTTTAATAGTAAGCAAATATCATGCAAACTCAAGCAATAAATAGCATGAATGAGGTAAAAGTGCGAAATTATATCGCATTCTACCCCTCTTAAGGAAAAGAGTTACGCCCTCGTAACTCACCTCAATAAATAATTCAGTAAGCTTCTCTTATTTTCAAAGGCAAGCCTTTAAATAATATACACATTGAACAATTTTTCCCATAGGCAGACTAACTAACACATTAACATAACTCGCTTCAAATGGATAGAGTGAATAGAGAAAGTACCAGTGACTACATCTGAGGACCTTTCAGCCTCTCCCTTGCCCATTACAGAAAAGCGCCCGGGAGTGTTGCTCCTTTCCTGATTACCATTGTTGCCATTACTAGTGTTATTGTTGCCACTATTATTACCAATCCCAGACTTCCAATTCTGATCACTCTGCCCATTAATCTTTCCTCCCTAGTTATAGGAATTGCTAAACCTCTGTTAGTTATTTCCACCATTTTCCTGCTGATTTTGCTTAGTATAACACTCATACTCCCTATGCCCTTTCTTATTGCAAAACCTACAAGTCACCAAATTCCCATCACAATCTTCCCAAGGTGGTTCTTCCTACACCACTTGCAAAAGAATTTCCTCTTTCCATTGCTATCATTAGTTGAACTACTAAGATCCTGGTTACCCCTCTCAGCTGAATTCCCATTCCTAACCTCTTAAAATTACCTTGGTTTTCAGAATTCCTAGAGTCTTTCCTCTTCTCCACAGTCTTAGCACTCACCCACATCCCTAGAGTTCAGATGGTACATATGTGCGGCCCTCTCATATACCTTGTCTAGGGTCTAAAAAAATTTCCAAGCTAAGTCTTTCTATAACTGTTTAGTCAATCCCTGTTCAAACCTCTGAGACTTCAATTCTTCAGTTGGGACAACTTCAGGGGAAAACCTAGCAAGGGTCTTAAACTTATTGTAGTACTCCGAAATCGACATTCGGCCCATCTCTAAGCTTATAAACTCCTGAGCCTTCTGCTTCTTCAGAAATGGGGAGTCTAACTTGTCCCTCAATGCATTCTTAAACACTTCCCACCCGAAATTTGGTTTGGCTCTAATTGCTTCGGCATTATCTCTCCACCAAATATCAACTTCATATTTAAGGTACATAGCAGCTTGGTCAACTTTCATACCCTCAGGACAGTTTAGTGCCACAAATAAATTATCGAACTCTCGAATCCAGTTTTCCAAGAAAGTAGGATTGACACCTCCCTTGAAAACTGGTGGCCTAACTTGAGCTAGCTTCTTAAACATCTCAGCTTGGGGATCAGGTTGGTCTGCCCTGTTCTGACCTAGGTTCTCAGCCAACATACTGATGGCCTCAGCTAAGGCAGCATTGTTTTCCATTCTAGTTTACGCCTGAAAGAAAGTAAACATTCACTCCAGCTTAAACAGAATTCAAACACCAATCACATGTATTTACATAATCACAAAACTACATTTTATCACAGGATAAATTGGATTTTAACACCTGACAAAAGGCTGAAAATGGTTTTTAACACCCCCCAAAAAAAACTTTTATTTTAACACCTCCCAAAAATATAAAAGTTGGAAGTTAACATCAGTTAACGATTTCCGTCACGGAAATTTAACGTGGGTCCCATAAATTGGTTTTCGCTCTCCTTCGTTTTCAATTTTTTACGAAACCCACCTTCGTGGCTGCCATCCCATTTTTTCTTCTTATTCCTCCCTTCATCTTTTCTTCGTCTTCTTCCTCCCTTCATCTTCATGGCTGCCATCCCAAACTCTTTCCTTCGTTCTTGCCCACCGGGCACCGGCCAACCCACAGCCATTGACAATTCTCCCGACAGCCAGCCCCCACCTCCTTTCAAACCCATCCCCCTTCACCCACCCCCAAATGCACTCGCGATGATTCCGATCAAGCTTGGTTACATTAATGGTAGAAACTCCCACACCACCACAGTCGTCATTTCGACGAATAATCAGCAAAATTTGATCATTTAATAGAAGGAAGTCGTTGGATAGTAGCCCAAATAAGGTCGTCGTCGTCTTTCGCGACCGATTCGGAGTTGGAAATTAGGGCTTGATTGAGTTAAAGCTTGATGAAATTGGGGGAATTGAGACATTTTGAGACGGGTGGAGGGCCGAAATCAGGACGGAGAAGGGGGGATGGAATCGGGACGGGGAAGGTGAGGGGGGCCGAGGTGGCTTCGCTGGCGAATCTGGTGGAAGATCTCGCGGAGGTGCTGGTAAGGAACGTGGTGGCTCTGAAAAATTTGACTGTGAGATTGGTTGCAGAGTTTAGGCGAGATGTGTGGTGGATATTGTGGGCTTGCTGGTTGAGTTCACAACGATTTCGAGGGAATAGCCTGGAGGTTTGGTCGAGTTGGATTCGCTGGGGAAATCGATTTTTGCCACTGTTGGTTGTCCGGAGTGGTGGTTTCTATGGTGGCTATTCTAGTGTTTTGGTTGGAAGAGGACAAAACATGTTTGCTGGCTGCGAAGGCTTGGTCAGTAGCCGTACAGGGCCCTTTATGGGCGGCGGAATTGGTGGTAAAAAAAATGGAAGTTCTCAGTCGCTTTGTTCTCCAACGAAGGAGAAGATGAACCGGTGTTGAATTTTTTTATTTTTTTTTTGTATGGTTTGATTTATGAGCACCAAAAATCTGTAAATCTGTAAATTATGAGCACCAAAAATCTGTAATGGATAAAATCAATGAAATGAAGGTTCAGAGAGGAAGTTTCGTGTTTTGCTGGGTGAAAATTGAAGTTGAAGCCAATTTGTGGGACCCACGTTAAATTTCCGTGACGGAAATCGTTAACTGGTGTTAACTTCCAACTTTTATATTTTTGGGAGGTGTTAAAATAAAAGTTTTTTTTTGGGGGGTGTTAAAAACCATTTTCAGCCTTTTGTCAGGTGTTAAAATCCAATTTATCCTTTTATCACATAAATTGGTTCAAAAGGGTACTTTAGTCTTTGCACCCCTTTGCCCCAAGCAAACTCAAACGAATAAAAATATAATCCACACGCAGGAATAAATAGAGTAAAGAAAATAATTCCCATCCTGCGCTACTCTTACTAAACTTAATCATAAACAAAGAAGTTTGCCTCAAAATTATAACTAGCCACAAAATTTAACTTGGTCTTGACCCCAAAAATATAAATAGAAATGGAATCCTTAAAATAAAATAACAACTCTTATTACAACTCAAATAAAAATATTAATCTCAATCCATAATTCTGTAGCTCTAACTACTTATTAAAATCCAATAACCAATGCCATAACTAAAATGAGGTTCTTATAGCCAATATTAATAACAAATGCCTTACTAATGCTAACTCTACCCTAATAAGTATAATCTTCAAGGGACCACATTAAAGTTCTTGTCTTTCTTCTCATTATAAGTGTTAATGTCAAAATCATTGTCATTCTCATCCTCGGAGTCTTCAATAATTATAGCCTTGTGGAGTGGGTTCGGATTCCTAGTAACTCTTTTTTTAGCATTTGGATCCGCAGGTACTCCTATCATCCCTTTAAGATCTTCTTCATCCCCCGAGAGTGAAATCAGCGTCATCTCATGAAAAATTCTCTTGTAAGTTTTGATCTTATGCTTTTTGTTCTTAGCTGTCTTAAACTCATGCAAATCCTGATAGCCTTCCTCAGATTGATCCAACTCTGGAGTTAAGATCCTTTCCATGGTTTCTAGATTATCTTCACTTTCTGTGTCTCTCTCGTTTCTAGACATGATTATTGCGTCACTTATCTCCTCTCTACGTCATCCCAATGCAACAAGCATTCGAAAGAGCATAACACGAACACATCATGAAAGAAATTCAATTAGAGCACCATCATGCAACATGTTAAATCACACAATAAACATCTTACATAATAATTAAATGAAGCATAAAGTATTAAATATGCATGCATGCCCTTCCTAAGTCTACCCAAACTTCACCAAATAAATAATTCAAAATTCAAATTATTTATAAACATTTTAAAACAATTATTTTAAACACACTAAGTTTCAAAAATTATTTTCAACTTTTGAATTCAAAATCCTTAATCAATTAGTTAGGCGCCTAAGACATACTAATTGGCTTTAGTGGTAATTAAATCTAACCTAAACTCTGATACCACTTTATAACACCCCAATAACTTTTATAGAAACTAGAATCATGAAAAAATGAAATTACATCAAATAAAACCCAAAATTAAAACTTTAACAAATCTAAAAATTAGTTGAAACCATAAAAAATATAATTTTAACATAATATAATCACTATATATCTAAGTAGCTTAACTAGCATATTTTTAAGCCCTAAAACCATGAAAATCAAGTTTTAAATCCTTATTTTCTTAATTAAATAAATCTAAAATTTTAGTCACTAAATTAAACATAGTATAATTCATAAATTTGTAGTCTTTTATAATTCATATACATAATCAAACCATAATAATAACAATTAGAAACAAAAACTTATTAAAGATTGAAATTTGAAATAATCAAAACAAAATAAAAAAAAAAGAAAGAAGAAAGGAGAGAGAAGGGGGCGAACTGGTGTGTTGTACGGTGGTGGTGTGGTCGCCGGAGGCAGCTGGGTGGCGCCAGTGGTGGGTTGGCGTCGGCGGCAGCAAGGTAAGCAGCGATATTTTTTTTTTTTTATCGTGAAAAGCAAGAAGGGGGAAAGTAGTGGGAAGAGAAATAACGTGAGTGAGGAGGGGGAAATTTGAGGGTTTTTGGGGTTTTTAATGAGCATGTGGGCTTGGTTTCCCAACTTAAGTGGGAGTAAGAATTTGTAGTTTAGGCACGAATAGGAGTTTAAGCTTTCTTTACTTAAAATTGGGCTAATAAGTTATTGACAAAGTAACTTAAAAGAGAATTTTAAATTAAACAAATGCTTATTAGTTTAATAGAATTCAATTAAATTTTTAAATAAAATAATTTATACAATGGAATCGAAATAAAATATTTGTATAAATAATAAAAAAAAATATTATAATTTACTTTTAAAAAAATAGGGGATTACAGTTAGGGCTGGGACCTTGCTTGGGTGCATCTGTTTAAGGGCCACATGTACTTCCTCCTTGGTGTAAGGTTGCATGACCATTTCATTCATAGATTGAGAAATTGATGCCTTCACGTTGCTAAGAACCTGATCAATATTATTATTAGCGGGGTTTGAGGGTCTAAAAATACCCTGAAAATACCCACTAATAATGGACGAAATTTCCTCCTCCTCGATTCTCCATATGCCCCCGGGATCCCATAATCCTTTAATGTGATTTCTTTTTTGCCGCTGCGATGCTTTGTGATGGATATACTTAGTATTTCGATCACCTTCCCGAATCTCTGCCGCCCGAGGCCTTGTATGCCAATAAGCCTCGTATTTTTCATGTAACTCATCATGGTATTTCTCAAGGTCAGAGCACTCCTTACAACTTTCCTCATCAACCGGTCTTTCTTGGGCTATTTTCAACGCTACCTCAGCTTCTGCAATTTGCTTTCCTAGTTTATTGTAAGTCTCCTCACTCCACTTTGTAAGATGCAAGCTCACTGTAGACCACTTTCCCAATCACACGAGGAGGTCCTCATTTCTCATGATGAGAAACAGCTTATGTTTCTCATGGGGGCATCACCGACATTTCACCTCATATAAGTCATTTTCATGGGGCATTACCAGACATTTCTGTAAGTGTAAAACATCTATTTATTTACAGAAATGCCATTATGTTTCTCACAGTGAGAAACACAGATTTCCCCCAATCACACTTCTGTTATCCATACCACCCCAAGCATTTTTAATCACCTTCTCGCATCCTTCATCAATAAGCCAACACGTTTCAAACTTGAATTCTTTTTTCTTTTTCTTTTTCTTCTTATTGTTCAGAACCACACAATTCAACAAAACAGAAGCATGATCCGATTTGTAACGCAAAATGTGCTCGACCGAGGCACCACTAAACAAAGAACACCAAGATTCAGAGCCTATAAATCTGTCCAGCCTTTGTCTCACACACCTGTGCTTCCTCCCCCTCCTTCCCTAGCAATTCTCTTCCATTGTCTCACCCCACCCTTTCACCCCTACTTCATCAGGTAAGGATAATAATTCAGCCTCACGGACTCCTTCCCAACAGCTAGTATCCCTCCACCAGATCTCATTGTCTCCACCGAAATCAGAACTACGAGTATAAAAAAGGAAATGAAAGCAAAACCTTCGAAGTAGAAGCAAGAAACTAGCAATAGCTAGATGAAAACCCTCCCAAGAACTTAAGCCTTGTCCACCAACTGGCACCTTATAAGCACATAAGTAACAACTTAACTTTAGTCTTCATGTAAAGTCTCCAAAATCTCTTTTATGTTGACTTCTTCTACTCAAGCACTGC